AGATACATGTGAAAACATAAATAAGAATAAAATAAAGAAGTGTTGTAAGAAAAGTATTATTAATTGTTAGTTTCATGAAGATGCAAATATTTTAATCCTGATCAGAAAGGAAGTTGTATAACTAGATTAACTCTTAGGTATTGATATGGATAGGATGTTAAAACAATAAAGAAGAACATCAGGTTAAACATCTAGTAAAAAGATATTTTTTAAGTTCCTTTACCTTTAGAAATTCTGATGGAGGAGAAGAATGAAATTATCATTTATGTAAACAAGTTAAAATGCTTAACTTAGTAATCTAGTGATCAAATGACTTTATGATGTTCAGTCTCTTTTAGAAAATGGAGCTGTTAATCAGAAGATATAATCAAATAGCAGACTTCATAGGATGGATAAATATAGCACTAAATGTTTTTGCTATTGCAGCAAGGTTAATAACAATTTTTGTAGTGCTTTTTTTTTTTTTTTTTTTTTTTCCATAAAGTATTTCGGAATTTTTAATTAATTCATCATTTTATTAATATTAATTTACCAATATATAAAATTTCTATTTCAGTATTTTTCATCAGTACACACAAAAAGCCATGAATAAGTTAAAACCATAATATTAATCAGTAATCATCTTCTTTAAGATGATCGATCACTTCAACAGATGACCTAAATCATGGGTCATCTTCAAAATACAGTAATTACTTAGCTGAATGGTAATTATTTCATTGTATTTCATTTGAATAGACAGTTTATGCTTGATGAAAATATTTCAAAAACTGCACATTATCTAGTAGTCTAGATGAATCATATCTCTCTGTATCTGTGACATCTGTCACAAAAGAAAATAACCTGAATGATAGCAAATAAATGTCAGCTAATGTGATATTATATCTAATTATGTTTGTGCTTTCTTCCCCGTAACTTGAAAAGATCATACTTTTCATTTTTAATTTATTAGCATTTTTCTTCCTATTTGTATTAAAGGAATGTTTTAAATTTTCAAATATTCTGTACCTGCACATATTTTTGCTATAACCAAAATATTTTTTAAATGGTTTTGATAAGTTTCCATGCATTTCTGCATATGTTTATAAAAATATGTTTTTCCCCCCATTTAGTGTTTTTGAGAGCAGTTTGCTTCTTTTACAAGATGAAGATGAAGAAATAAGAAATACAGCTTGCAAATTTCCTTCTAGTTTGACTGATGAATATGATGTAAGGATGTTTTTAACTTCCTTGTACGAAGTAAAAAGGAAGTATTGTAATCGCGAAAAGTTTCAGGCAGCATATTTCAATGAAAATATCCATTTTGACCGCTATCGAATGCACTTTAACGATGTTTTTGCTTGACATCTGTACGTAAGGGGAGAATAAAAAGCTCTTTTCCTTCAAAAAAAATTATAAAACTTCTTTAAAATGAATTCTGAAGAGAATTTTTCGTGGCGTCTGTACGAACATATGTGTGTATGTATCTCGCATAACTCAAAAATGAGTAGCCTCAGAATGTTGAAATTTTGTATATATAGGACTGCTATAACATGTAGATGGGCACCTCGTATTTTGGCTGCAATTGGCCGCACCAAACATATATAAGTATATTTATACATATATATATATCCACTCTGTTACCTGGCTCAGTGATCTCAGTTTCTTTACTCTTATATGTGTGTAAATTGTGCATTTTTTGCTTTAAAAATGGTTGAATTATGTGGTTCTTATCTTCCGGTTAAGATTTTTATGCCTTTAGTAAATCTGCAAGCCAGAGTCGTAGCTAGGGTTTTCAGCGCCCAGGGACAACTGAAGATTTTGCGCCCCCTACTGCTTGCCAAGGATGGAAAACATTTAATTCTAAAATGTCGTAACATCAGTTTGGCGCCCCTTGGATTCTGCGCCCGGGGACAGATGCCCCCCTTGCCCCCCTCTAGCTACGCCCCTGCTGCAAGCAGTATTTGTACAATTATCAACAATCTAAAAGCTGTTTAAGTGCGGTTAAGCTGAGTTTTTATGTATTTTTGCCTTGTCGCGAAGTGAGAACTGAATTAATTGAATGAGAAATACTAAATCGTCTGTGAAAAACTTTTTTTTTGTTTGTTTGTTTTGTTTGCTTAATTTCTTTTATACATTGTTTTAGATATATTAGAGTATTTGAATAGAACATGTGGCAACGATTAGATAATTCTTCAAATGAGATAAATTTTGTGCATTCTGAGTTATAATATGAACGAAATATGGTACACAAATATAGTGAATTTTAAAGAGTGCACTTATTCTCTTGTGGTTTATGCTCTATCGACAAAGTAGATTTATATTCAATCCAGTAAGTTTAAATGAAATGCAAGAAAAATTGCGTATAATTTAATATTCTGTACAAGGAAGTCATGGGGTGTACACATCAGATTTTTTTCAGTTTTATTTCCCTCCCTCTCTCATTATTAACAAAAATTGTTTTTAAATTTAACTGTTTTGATTTATAAGCAAATTGTTTTTAATTTATTTAACTTGTGAAATTTATTAGTCCAAAGGGGCAATTTTCCCTGAAGGACTATTAATTTCGTTTTGGCATTTTGCATTGAAAACTATAAACAGCGAATCACTTTTCAAATTGTTGCCATTATGCCAGTATTATATTTAAAGAAATTAAATAATAAAGAATCTGCATGAATGTATGTATGTTTCTCACATTGTGATAAAACAATGGTACCTAGAGCCATCAAAATTTGAATAACATAATCTTCCATAGAATATATGCATGTAAAACCCCTAATTTCAATTTGAAAGTTGTTCCATTATCGATTTCATATTTTGTAACACTTCAATGAATTTTTGATTTAAAAAACTAAATGATTTCAAAGCGAGCAATGACAACTGTACGAAAAAAACATTTTTTATCTCCAGCGTGGAAGACTCTGTATTGGAAATTCTAAAGATATGCTCATTTTAAAATTATTTTGCAATATTGCTGTTGAACCGAATTTTATGGTTTGAGTACGTAGAACATGATATTTAATAAATTTATACAAAACGTTAAAAAAACACCCCTTTGGACGTAATTTAAAATCTGAACCCTTTCAGATTTTTTTTATTATTTTATTATTTATTTATTTATTTATTATTATTATATCATCATATGAAACTTCCCCTGTTTTGTGAACATGTGCTTTTTTATCAATTAAAAAATTTAAGGTTTTAAGTTAAGTGGAATAAAGTATTTTAGCTAATCAGTTATTTTTTATTGCACTAATAATTAGCCTGAATAGCTATTTCAATTAGAATTAATAAGCCTTCAAAAAGAAATTTATTTACACTTTTATTGTATTTTTGGTTTTCTTTGTTGCAAGGTAGGAAAATGCGGAATGATGTCTTTTATTTTCAGTTATATTAATTAAATATGAATTAAATTAATGTCCTATAAATATTAGTTTACTTCCAAGATTTTATTACTATTGAATTTTTTGAGAGAAAATACATATTGCTTTGACAATTTCTAATTAAAAAGTATGACTAGTAGTTAACTAGCCTGACTGACTTTTAACTACATACTGCATAAAATAAAGCTGTTTTGTGGCTATGCTAAAGCTCATACAACGCTAGGGAGAAGCTTATAATTTCTAATATTTTTATGATCTTATAATTAACAATTTCATAACTGAACTGTATTTTTTATTTACGATACCTTTTTTTTTTTATTATATCATTCTTCGAACAACTCCAATGATATAAAGAGAAAATTGTTTAAATTGATCCTGTTTTCTTTTCTTTGCTGCTTGAGTGTAAATTGGCTTTCAGTTCCTCACATTATGTTTATATTCTTTGAAAGGTGATCAACTAAATGCATTAAAGCTTCATTTATTAATTTGCAAGCATGACATCTCTGTCAGCTGTAGTCTTATGATATATTATAATTGTGTTAAGCTGTAAGTATATATGTAATATAGTATAATTCTACTAAAATATAAAGTTTCTAACAAGTTTTTTGTTCTTAAAATGCCAAATAATGCAATAAATATTTCCTTTTCATGTATCTGTAAAATACTTAGTAGTTTCTTTTCTCCTTCCATATTTCCCTTCCCTATTTTAATTGTTTTTTTATTGTATCTTATTAATCAACTATGCTGTTCCATGACAAGTACTAAGTTTTGCTTTGTTAAACTTTACACTGATATACTAGTAGTTTATGGAAATTCCTTTGTTAAATTAAATTTATGAAAGGAATGTCCATAAATTATTAATTTATCAGTGTGAAGTAATATGAATACAGTGCAAAGTCTTTAATCCGGATGTCCATAATTCAGAATGATCTATAATCTGGACCTCAAAGCTACGAACTTTCTGCGCATTTGTAGCATTTACGCATGTGCATATGTGTTTACGCATGTGCATAATACCTTTACGCATACGCATAATGCATTTACGCATGCACGTTTAATGTATAACGGACAGTATAAGCTGGGCTAAAATTATCTATTTCAGTTAATGTTGCAGATTATGTTGTTCCTTAATCTTCTAATTGGATTCGGCTTATTATTTTTCGCAAACTGTTAGAGCAATTTTATAAAAAGTAAGCTTGAACTTTCGATTATGTCAAAAAGAGTTTCCTATTCTGGAGCTGCCAAACGATCTACAAAGTGAAAGCATGTTTCGATGTCCATGAAACAAAAAGTGGAATTACTGCAAAAAACGGTTAAAGGCATGAAGAAAGTGATATTAAGTTTTTTTTTTTTTTTTTTTTTTTGTAAATTTTGATACCCTTTAGATCATAATTGCTCTTTATTTCATAAATTACGGTTCCATCTTACCAGATTTAAATTGATGATCTATAATCCGGAATCGCTGGAGTCCCAACGAGTCCGGATTAAAGACTTTGTGCGGTAGTACTGTTTTATATATTATTGTTGAAATAATTTCTATTATGGTTAATAAGATAAATTTTTTTAGACCTAAGTTTATTTTTTTTTTTTTTTCCTAATAAAAATTTTGAGCAATTGAAATTTAATATTGTAACTGCCATAATCATTATTTTTATATAGATATCAATATTACATGTAAGGTTTTCTATCATATATTTAACTATAAATAATTATTTGAAATATATTGTTTAAGGAACATTTTATGTTTTCAGATAATATTTGCAGTTCAATATTGGAATTAAAGTAAGTAACTGTTTAATATATTCAATATTAATATTTTATATTAAATATTTAATATTTAATTCAATATTTTTTAGAAGGGCATGAATAGTTTTTAACATCTTAAAAGGTGTTATTGTTTTCTTTTTTAAATTAAATACTTTACAACATAAATAAATCTGTATAATGTAATACTACACTGAACCATTTTTTACCATATGTACTGAGTGCACAAGACATAAGATCTTCAATTTATCTACCATACAACCTGACAAAAGCTAATTCCCTGGGCATTTCCATTTGATGTGATAAAGTTTTTTTAATATATCACTGAAATTACTAATGTAGTTACTTAATGAATTAAGTAATTTTAAAACAATAAATATAATCGTTTAACAAATTATAACTTTATTCTGTTTTGTATGTGTCTAATTGAAGTAATGCATAATCTAAATTATAATCTGTATGAGCATTTAAATATAATTGTGATTAAAAAAAAAAAAAACAAGTTTCTAATGCCACATTTACCTTTATGTAGAATAATCATATGATTTCCTATTTTTTTATTCTATTTAATTTTCTAATAAAGGCATTGAATGGAAATGCATGAGCTCAAAGACAGTTGTTGAATCATGCACCTCTTAAATGATGGAACTATTTGGAATGGATTTCATATTGATCGCACTGATTTTTTTAATATATATATATTAAAAAAAATCAATATATAGATTATATATAGATCTCAGGATCAGTTTTAAAAACTTTAACATGTCAGCATTCAATGTTGATGCTCAGTCTTTTCAGTTAGGCTGTATTCGCATATTATTTCAATAGTCAGTATCCATTTTTCAGTTTTATAATTATAGTATCACTCCTATGATATTACACTCATATCTGAATTTAATTTTATTTTTAATAATGTTTGCTGTTTTTATTTTTTAAATTTCCTATTTTTGTGATAAGTTTCTGGAAAAGTTTCATCTTCTATATATTTCTAGAAGCTTTTATTTGTGAAATAAAATTTTAAACATTCAGCAAAATTAAATTATAAGATTAGTTACTTTTAATGAACAAGTTTTCTAATATTTTGGTGTAAAATTAGCTGAAAAAAAACTTATTTGATTGATTAAAAAGAAAGTTTAGTTGGTTGTACCCTTCTCAAACATTGCTTAGAATAAAAAAATATCATAATTTTATTCTGAATTTGAGTTTTTTACTTTATATTAACAGCTAAAATAATTTATTATTCATATAGCATAGTTTGAACTGCAGTCACAAAAATCTTCAAACCACTAAACTGTTGAAACTAAATTATTTTTATTTATATTTAATGAAATTTGGCCTTTGATAATTTATAAAATATGTCCTTGAAATTGATACCAACTTGCTAACAAATTATCGTGAATAATTCTGCATACCATGAACAACAAACGCATTCAATTACCATGACAACAAGTAATTTTTATCAATTCATCTTTGCTCATCAATCATATGTTTGTAGTACATAGGGTAGTGGCTACTTACCATAGATTAATATTAGATATCTGGTAATATTAGATAAAGCTATTAGATTAATATTAGATAAAGTATTGTAATATGAGGTGCAAATAATATTCCCTTCCTTGTATGTGTTCAGATGACTATTATGGTGAGAATATTCATATTCATAAAGTTTGTTATTTAAGTATATATGACAAAAAATTTGCATATTTATGAAAGGAATTCAAAGCATTTTTATGTTCAATATTGTGTGTTTTCTTTTAGGTTTTATGTCAATTTATGTGCAAGACATTGAAGTACCAGCCTAATTTTCTGCTTTATTTGTGGAATAGGTTGCAGAATTATCCTTCTAGTGCTAAGGTTTTAAAGTCTTGTGATAAAATTGTGTAAGTTTGAAAAAGGACTGTTTATGTTTCAAAATGTAAATGTTTACTTACGATACTATAATATAATAGAAATATTTTTAATGTAATAGGAAATACATTGTAAGAAGTGTAATAAAAAACTAAAACTTATAAGTGCCATCTGTGTGATAAACTTATATTTACTCATGTATGGAAAACAATAATATCCTAGAAGGACAATAGAGAATGGCATCATAATCCTTCATCGATACGTACTGTGTTTTTTTGTATCCACATACTGTAGTTCATTTGCAATTTCAACATGGATCTGAAATTGGAGCAGAGAGCAAATATCAAATTCTAAAAAAGACTAAAAAATTAATAGCAAAAATGTGTGATGATGATGATAAGTAAGTACATAGCTGTAACCAAGAGAAAACAACAGTGATAAAGTATTAATGTGGCAAGCTAAGAGTGCAATTTCATAACACAGGGTCAGAGGATAAATTTATAACATTCAGAGTATTAATGTGGGATATTCATGCAGTATTCCAATACGTGAGAACAGACATTTGATTCTAGACTTAAACTGTGATGAAAAAGCAGCTGTATGTTTTATCGCAACTTATCTGCTGCAACACTATTCAAGAAGTATATGAATTTTCAAGAAGTGTTAGCATAATTAATTACTGCTCCTTACCTACCTCAATTTCCAGATGTGACCTCCTTGACTTCTTTCTTTTCTTCAAATTGGAACTCGGGAGGAAAATCAGTGTTATAATACTACAAAAGAGAATTAGTATGTATTGCAGGTGGTGTTTGATGCTACTGGTAAGCTGGATGAAAGGAGCAGCATCAGTAGTAAAGCTGAAAAGTTTGATAAAGACCTTCAAGATAAATGGAACTGCTATTTAAATCAGCAGTAATCACCCAAGGAAAACAGCATAAAGGGGGGATGAATACATAATAGCATGTCAAAGAAGATTGATGCCAGTCTGCTGATTCCGAATCTATAGAAAAATCAAACAAAACACAAAAATAAGTGCTGTAAAAATTGCACATCGTTTAGAAGAACAGTTTTCAATAAAAGTTAATCCTTAAACTGTTAGAAAAGTCATTAGAGCAAATGAAAACAATAGATGATCAGTAAGAAGGAAAGTCTTTGTCAGCAAGAAAACAAGGAAAATATGCGTGGCATTTGGAAATTCCATGACAAGTGAATGTTTATCATTTTGGAACGAAGCCAACTTCGTAAATGAGTCAAAATTTAATATATTTATGTCCAGTGCATGATTATTTTGTTTCAAAATCCATGTGAAGGCTTGAATACGAAAACTGAATTGCCTGTTGTTCATGGGAGGGGGTAGAGAGTTAATGGTTAGGGGAGGTTTTGCTGCTTTTGGGATGAAAAATTTTTCTTTTATAGAAAATAAGATGCATGAATATTAATATGTAAGTATTCTTAATGAAAATATGAAAGCATCCAGAAGAAAAACTTGGAATGTACGATACATTGAAATTCTATCAGAAAAATTATTCTTAACATACAGTCCTAAATGTTCATTTGTAGTTATTATACACTTGTCATGAAGTAAAATTAACTCTTCCATGTTCTTGGAACTTATAACCTATCTAATATGTAGGGAATGAGTTGAAGAAAAGACTAAGAAAACATTGTATTTCTTTGAAAGCCGTACTAAAAGTAATTCTTATAAAGAATGACAAAACTGAATATTTTTACTTGAAAAAATTAATTGAATTTATGCCAAAACTCATACAAAGTGTAATTTTAGCTAAAGCATATACAGTGAAATATTGAATGCCTTTTATTTTCAGTATTTACTAAATATAAAATGTTTACTCAAAGTGTCCGAATACTTATATGAGTTTATTTTCAGAATTATTTTTTTTTTTTTTTTTTTTTTTTCAAAATGTATTAAATAAATCTTTTCGAAACAAGCAGATTTAAAAAAAATGTCCAGTTATATATGAGAAAGAAAAATAAACGTATTTCCCTAATATTTAGTAAATGTTATTTGCAAATAAAACAAAAAAACATGAGTGTCTGAAAACAAATATGAGCCACTGTATGCTGCTGTTAAAAATTTTGTGATTTTGCTGTTGAATTTTATAAGTGTGAAAAAAGTGATGCTCAATAATAAAGACAAAAAAGGTCATCTTGTTAAGAAAACTGAATATTGATATTATAAGCTGAGAAAAGAATGAAAAAAATAGAAGAATGTATGGCAGCGCTTAAAACTTTATTTGAGAATTTTTAAAAATGCTACTTTTAAGAATTTTGTGATTTTACTGTTGAGTTTTATGTGGCATAAGTGCAAAGAAAGCGATGTTTAATAATAAACACTTAAAAAAAAAAAAAATATGTGTGTCTATATATATGTAAGATATAACAAAATACGATAGCTGCTTTAAAAATAATTGGCAACCTGAAAATTAATGATTCTAGATTTGGTGCTCTAAATTCATCTGTTCCCCCAAATTCGAGATCCTTCCATGATTATATAACAACCTCAAATTAACCAATGATAGCCTAAAGTACTTTCTGCATGTACTTAGTATAAAAATACCTTTTGCAAATAAACTGCATCATCATCTTCTCCTAGTTTCTGCCATGCCAAGATCCATGCTGCTTTGCTTGTCTGTCTAAAATGATATAGTCCCCATTAATCTGTGTATGTAAGAAATTATTTAATGGTTTATAATTAAAAGATATATTGTCTATGAAGAATTGGTCTAATGTGCCTGGAAATAAAGACGGTAATTAGCTGAACTTGGTTTGATATTAACATCTTTGACCTATCTTGCCGCTCTGCTATCATGACTATGCATCAAAAATATTACATACATATAACAGGAGTGAGCCCAAAAGCAGATTCATAAACTGCGAGCTCAGTGAGAATGTAAAAAAATCTTAACAAACTCTCTGGTACAATGTTAAAATACGAATCCTTTCAGATATTTACTTCCTTGTATGAAGTAAAGGAAGTATTGTAATCATGAAAAATTCCGAGTACTATATTTCGACAAAAATATCCATTTTGATCGCTATCAGATGCAATTTAATGATGTTTTTGCATGACATCTGTATGTAAGGACAGAATAATGGATTTTTTTCCCCAAATCGAATTATAAAACTTATTTCAAATGGATTCAGAAGAGACATACATACGTATGTATCTCATAGAGTAGCCTCAGAATATTGAAATTTTGTATATGGGACTGCTAGAGCATGTAGTTTCGCACCTCCCTTTTTCGTGGTAATCGGCTGCACCAAAAGTATATAAATATGTATATAATTCATAATAATTTATAATGAATGAATTATTGGTTTATTAATTTGCAGCTTTAGCACTAGTCATAGGCTTTCTTAATTTACTTTTAATTACTTTATTTTGAATATATATATATATATATATACACCCACTTTGTTACTCGGCTCATTTAGCTCAGTTTTTTTTATTCTTATATGTTGGTAAATTGTGCATTTTTTTGCTTTAAAAATGATTGAATTAGGTGGTTCTTATCTTCCAGTGTAGGTTTTTATGCCTTTTCTTAACTTCCGCGCAATAGTTGTAGAATTATCAACAATTTAAAACTTGTTTAAGTGTGGCTAAGCCTAATTCTTCTTACCATAGCAGCCACATTTGTTTACATTTGAAACTTTGCAGAATAGGGGATTTGTTGCCAATGTAGAGAAACTAAGCTTCGCATCAACAAAGATAACATCTTCTTTTATTATTATAAATTAAATCATGCTTAATCCATTCTAGAATTATTATTTAAGTTATCCCACATATTGACTTACCATACCATCCACAACAAATTAAGTCAGTGTCTGTGCCTCAGTGTCTTTTTGCTGAGTGAGACCAAAAGTAAACTTTCAGTTTTGTGCACCGAAAAATCTGCCTTCTTGCCCACTGGCCGAATTATTTGTTTTTGTGTAGAAACTCTAATTTTAATTGTAAAAATTGTTTTTTAACTGTATTTATGTTTTATGTTTTTTTTCAATTTTTAATAAAGATATTTTGAGGTTTCATGTATTTTTGCCTTATCGCGAAGTGAAAACTGAATTAATTGAATGAAAAATATATCTCTAATGAAATTCGTGGAAATAAGTTTAAACGAAATGCAGTGGAAAATGTGTATAATTCAATATTCCATTACAAGTAAGTCATGTGATGTACACATCAATTTTTTTTTTTTTTTTTTTTTTTTTTTTTTTTTTTTTTTTTTTAATTGTGTTAGATCAAATGTGAATTTGGGTTAAGCATGAATACAATTCCTAGTATTACCTTGATTAAGCTGTTGTGTATGCTGTACTGAATGCATGTAAGTGTTTGAAATGTATATATTTCATTATTCAAATTGGATTAATCAACTAGTTGTGTGTTGTGAAATTACTGATACATACAATCAATTGCCTGTTTAACCCTGCAAGCAACTGACTTTACCTGTCAAAAAGTAAAATCATGCAGTTGCTAATCAGGAACATTGGTAATCTTCAGAATGACTTTTGGCACCAGAGCTTTCTGAGATCTAATTGCTGATGGGAAAATAATGAAAACTAGTGAGTTAATGTTTTAGTATACAGTTCATATATGTAGAAAAAGACTTGCATTATTAAATTATCTTCCATTGTTTGTGCATATGTATAATTTGAATAAAACATTTTTATTGAGCAATATAACTATTATTTTGAGTTTTAAAAAGCTCATTTTATTTTTAGTTTTACAGCAAAATGAATCTTTTTGACTAAGAATATGTAAATGTTTTAAAACCTCATTGTATTTTTATTTTACAGCAAAATGAATCTTTTTGAGCAAGAATATGTAAATGTTTTTGCTGAACCTATCTGTCTTCTTCTCCTTCATAAAGAAAACTTTATGGTAAAGTTATTGATTATAATATATTGACTGACTACGGAAGTTGTATCATTTTCATTTCATTAATTTCATAAAAATTGTTTGTGAAATAGTCACAGAGAAATTTTAAATTATTTCATTAAATATGTGTCATTTAAATAAGAAAAATTTGTATGTAGCACTAAATCAATAATTGCATGTAATTCATTTATTTTAAGTTCATTATCATTATTTTAAATTCATTCATTATCAATAAATGCATGTACCGTATTTGACGGCATATAAGACACACTCTTCCTAAATTTGGTCTCAAAAAAGTTACCTGCATCTTATACGTGAAGGACACAGGTTAACTTTCAATACTGAATGCTATTTTTAGCCCGGATAATGGTCTAGACACGCATAACTTTTTCTGCATCTGCCATAATTATTTTGCGCGTGTGTGAAATATCCGTCGCCAAAAAGCGCCAAAGCTCGAAGCTGATGTCGAAGATCGAACAGGTTCGATGGTCACATTATGTCTGTGGAGCCTTTCCTTCTTTACATAGACTTTCTTTGACTCAGCCGACACACGTGTCGGTATTGGTGCTATTCTGTATAAATGTGTCGGTATCGGTGCTTAAACTATTTGTTTTAAAAAATACCCTGGAAAATATGACTACAGGAAACAAGATATTAAGCTATACAATTCAGTATAAACTAGGAGTGTTAAACTGCACCAAAGTGCATGGAAACAGAGCAGCAGCAAGGCATTTCGGTCCGCCACCTACCGAAAAAATGATACGTATTTGGCGACTGCAGGAAGATCAACTGAAGACTGCTATAAAACAAAAACATAACCTTCGATGCTCAGCTCCATCTTGACCTGAACTTGAAAATGCCGTAAAAATGTGAGTGATAGATAAAGAGGAAATCTGGGATAAGTGTTTCAACCAAAATGATAATCAGTGAGGCCAAAGGATTTGCAGAAAAACATGGGAATCAGAACATCTCAGGGTGTGAGGGCTGGTGCTACAGGTTCATGAAAAGGCAAGGCTTATCAATGCGCACAAAAACAACTATTGCACAGAAAATACCAGCAGATTTTATGAAGAAAAAATACTATCATTTCATAGGTTTGTTATAAATGCACACAAGAAAATTTCTTTTGAGCTCAGTCAAATAGGAAATATGGATGAAATTCCACTCACATTTGATGTACCATCCAACAAGACTGTGAGTATTAAAAGGTCTAAATCAATAACCAAAAAAACTGCAAGTCATGAAAAAAAAAACCTGATATACGGTAGTTTTAACATGTTGTGCTAATGGCACAAAACTGCCGCCGTTTTTCATATTCAAAAGAAAAACTCATCCGAAAGAAAAACTTCCAACGGGTGTAATTGTTCATGTTCATCCGAAAGGCTGGATGGACGAAGCTGGAATGAAACTCTGGTTACAGAACATATGGATGAGGCGACCTGCTGGACTCTTAAGAAAACCCTCTCTTTTGGTTTTGAATCAATTTAGCGCCCATAGAACTAAAACCATAAAGAATAAAGCGAGAGAATTAAATACCCAGATAGCTGTCATTCCTGGTGGACTGACTAGCCAATTGCAGCCTTTAGATGTATCGGTGAATAAGCCATTTAAGGAAAAAGTGCGAGAACGATGGAACGAGTAGATAGGAGAGTCACATCATGCCCTCACACCCTCATGTAGAATGAAGCGGCCCTCTGTTTCACAAGCGTGCGAGTGAGTAAAAAGATCTTGGGAGGACGTAAAGGCTGAAGTAATTGTCCTTTAAGAAGTGCGGAATCAGTAATGCTCTTGACGGAACAGAAGACGACACATTATTCGAAGAAGGTGATACTAGCGATGACAGAAACAGTAGTGATGATGATAGTGAAAAGGATTTTTATGGTTTTGAAAGTGATTAAAGTCTAATTTCGTGATAGGCAACGTTTTCCTTGAATCTGTGTTTTTTGTTGTTTTTGCTTTATTTTGTATTATGTTTTGATTGCTTGCCATTCATTTATTTATTCATTATTGAAATTTACATATCATGTTCAAAATAGCTTGCCGTTTGTTAATTTTCCTTAATAAAAATATGTTTGGTAATTGCATTCAATGATTGTTTATATGGCTTTTATGAAACGTGAGAACTAAAAGAAGCCACATTTTAAGTTATTGTGATATTGCGCTGTCGTGCGGACTATTGAAACTTTTTTTCCTTGTGTGTGGCCTTGTAAATAAGGGTGCTTCTTATATGCTGTCAAATATGGTAATTCATTTATTTTATTTTATACAATTGCTTTTTATCTATGATTATTTAGAGTAGAAATATTGGTAAAACTATTCTGTATTTTCTCTTAAAACAGTGAATTAATTATTGTATTAGTAGCTTAGTATTAGTAACTTAGTATTAGTAGCTTAGTATTATTGTATTAGTAACTACTGTATTAGTACTTTTTTTTTTTTTTTTTTTTTTTTTTTTTTTTTTTTTAATCCTATGCAACCATATACAAACAGCTGCTTCTTGTGTGAAAATAAAGTTCTACATCAAAAATACAAGAGTCTTCAAAACGATTGATCTAATTTTAATTCTGAATGAGCTTAATTCGATTCCTTTTGAATTGTTGAAGTGGTCAAATTTTGTGTGTTTAATAAAGTATACAGAAAGAGCACGTAACAGACGCCTTTCTTAAAATAATCACCAACAGTACTGATACATTTCTGCTTGTAATGGGCAAGTTTTTTTATTATTATTATTATTATTATTATATTATTATTATTATTATTATGGGATAGGCATGTTTGAAAAATGTAGTATCTTTGAAGGCGAGGACATCTTCAATGTTAGGTAAATCAGTTACTGACAAAGCATTTTCTGATAGGAAGTAACACAAATGACTTAAAAAATGGTAGTATGTTAACCAAAAAGAATGATGAGAAAACAAAGCATACGATAATACAGTCAAAAGTCGTTAATTCGGACACCCATAATCCGGAATGATCTATAGGTCCGGACATCAAAGCTAAAAACCTTTTGCGCCGCGCATAGGCGTTTACGCGTGCGCGTAAGATCTTTACGACTGCGCATATGCGCGTCGTATACTTTATTTAATTTTATAAAAGTAAGCTTGAATTTTTGATTATGTCAAATAGAATTTCCGATGCTGGAGCTCCCAAAGGATCAACAAAAGGAAAGTATGTTTCGATGTCCATCAAACAAAAAGTGGAATTGCTGCAAAAAATGGATAAAGGCATAGCCTGTGTTTATCTAATCATTCCGAAATCTGTTTATCAATTTCACGCTGCTCTGCGCGGGGGGGGGGACATTGTGGCGTGCAATGAACTGGAAGTTGATCTGTTAGCACTATCATTATCTTCAGGGTAGATGTTTTTATTTTATTTGGCTTATAATTCCTTACTAAATGTAGTATTTCATCTCGATGTACTCCATCTTTGATATGATTTAAATCAAATTCTTCGTCATTATAAATATCAGGAATACAAATCAAATAGTTTTCTGGTTGCAATTTTCTAGTTTCGGCTATGCGTAATGTATGCTTTACGCATGCGCGCATTGAAAGAAATGTTTAATAAAAAGTAAACAAATAAATATTAAGCCTTTTTTTTTTTTTTTTTTTGTAAATTTTGATACCCTTTAGATCATAATTGCTCATTATTTTATAAATTACGGTTTCATATTTTTAATTTTATAATTTCTGCATGCCATCTTACAAGATATAAACTGATGATCTATAATCCGTAAAAATCGATAATCCGGAATCGAATTGAAGTAAAGTCCCGACGAGTCCGGATTAAAGACTTTTGACTATATATCTTTTGTGGTGATATGAAGTCTGCAATCGATTGAATCGATCTGCTCATGGATTTTGGATGTGTAGGCTCTGAATGATGAAGCAGTAATATTGAAGAATGTCAAGAAAAAAGGGATATCTAATGCTGTTGTTAGTTCTGAAGATCATCATATGTGCAAAGACAAACTTAACTAGGATGAAGATGATGACAATAGTGACAACTTGCAAGCTATAACAGACAACGCAAACAGCAGTTCCAGCAGCTCTGAATCATTCAAGGCCTAGGGACTAGCTGTGCCACCATGGTGCTAAAGGGAGGCCTAGTGAGCTCAAATGCCACCATGCCAGGATATGTCGACTTTACATGACCGCTGCTTAGACGTTTGGTATAACCTGTCTTCAGTTATCTACCAAGAATTTGTGGCATCCTTGCCAAGGCGAGTTGATGCTATTTTGCAGGCCAAAGGTCTTACAATGAGTTATTGAGTAGGTGGTCATAATGTTTTGGCTCTTCAGTGTATGTGGCTTAGCCATATTAGTTGAGAGTCTTTAATAATGTTTATTATAAATAACTTTAATAATGTTTATTATAAATATCTTTAATAATGTTTATTATAAATAACTTTAATAATAAGACTTTAATAATGTTCTCTAAATTTTTGCCGTAGATCAAAATTATGTTTTATTCTTCTCACTTCATTTCCCTTACAGCTGCAAAATCTTTCATTTAAATGTCATTACTCTATCCTCATCTGCTTTAGTCATTGTCTAACACTCAGTTCCATACATTAGTGTAGGTGTTACTAAGATCTTGATTTTGAATTAGTCATTTGAAATTGGACAAATGTAATCGTGAAAATTTATAAAACTATTCTCATAATTGCTGTATTTAAATGTAATTTATTGGCATTTTCACCTATTTTATAGTTCAACTTTGGTAAGTATGATATATAAAATCATGCACATTTTGTATTTTGCTTAATGGTGATACTTTTTGAAATAATTATGAAAATTCCCATATGTTAATTCCCATTATGTTCACTTTAGTAACTCTCCATGTAATTTGTTATGCAATCTGTAATTTTTTCTTAATTTTGAAATTGACAGGGAAATGAATCTTTTCATATCAGACTCTGTGCATCCTTTTTTATAATTTGCTAAGATAAAAAATTCAGTAGTTTATGGTATTAAAATAGTGCAGCTAAACATTTCGGTATTTTTCTGTTATTGGGTCTGGATTCATGTATCTCCAAATGCTGATGATTTGGTGAAAAATTTAAAGCTTAAAAATAATCACCGAAATATGTATGATATGGTTAAATTGAAGACCTATCAAAAGAAAAAATAACAGATATTCAAAAAAGTTAGAAGTTTTTAATGAAAATTAAACAGTTTGTGAAAGAAAAGCGAAAAACAAATTTTGATCAGTAAATTAATATTAACAGAGAAGCATCGGATTGCAGATATGATTTAAAATTTCTGAAAGCATTTCATTTTAAGACACATCTGCTACCACATAAATTCAATTAAACAAGAATCTAATTGGTTACTGGCAGTGTCATGCTGATGTTTATTTTTGCTGATGTTTGCCATTTTGCACTGCTCTGTAACCTTTCAGTAGTTTGCACATGACAACCTCTATCAGTATTGATGAAATTATACTTATGGTTAATGCGGAATTATTCAATATGAGCTTCCTCTAACTCTTGTTACACCCTTTCCAACAGTCTAAATGTACTATAATTTTAAGCAAAGTTCTGTCAAAGTAGTGAATAAAGACAGCAACTAAAAAGCATTCTTTTGTTTCTCTGCAAATCTCGCCTCACACCCTCTGAGTTGGATGGATTCTCAATGGAAATACCATGCATAAGCCAGTTGCCATTCAAAACTGATTCTCGTCCTTAAAACCAGTTTTCAGAATGTAATCCCTTTTCCTTCTCGGCATATCATGGCTTTCCATCTCCTTCCGGACACTTCCTTGGAATTGAACTAAAGCATCATTTCATGTTTTTTCTTGCACTTTCGTTCATGGTGAATAATTACTTACTCTTGGAGGAATTGTGTCAGAAATATTTAATCATTAAGTAAGTCCTAAATTTTCATATCCATGATAAAATTCCAGCGAAGTTAACTTCTCATAATGTTATTCTAGTAAAGCAAAATGAGAAGTGCCAACTTATCTTTAGTCAAAATTTTCTTCTAATGTAATGTATAATAAATATGGCAACAGAGATATATGAATATCTTCAAGAAAAATTCTTTTAACCCCCTTAACTGCCATGGAAAACATACAAGATTCATTTCCCAGTGCCACGGTTTTTCACACAGGCGCGCTTAGTTAACGATGTATTAGGGGGAAAATAAGTTCAAGTTTTATTTTCTAAAAACTGTTTAGTTTCGCAAAATAAAGAATAAAAGAAAAAAATGAATGCACAAAATTTAATGTTTTGATTAAAAGTGTAATAAAAGGATGTAAGTATATTAAAAATTATGTTTTTATAATAAAAAAAGATCCCTAAAATGGAGTTTCGATCAATTCATTTTTGAACAGTAAAGTGTAATATCAGGTTTCAGTGTTATACCTTGTGAAATCAGTATGCCTAAAAAAACATATATTTCTTCTGAACTGGTTGAATGCCACGATTTTGTTCTTGATTTTTCGTTTGCAAGGTGTTGGTTCATATACGCGTCTACAAAACGGTTAGTTTTCAATAACAATATGAAGCACAAGCAGTTCATCAAAAAATAATTCAAAAAAGATAAATGGGTTTGAAATACCCATTATCTTTCTTTATTCCTGAAACATACTACAAAAAGTAAATGAAAACGGAGGACACAGAATAAAAAAAATACGTTTTACTCAAACAACACTAGCTAATACCGCACAGTCATTACTTTCACGGCTTTAGACACATCCCTCTCTCCAATTTTTCCCCCACACGTCTCTATAATAGTATCCTCCATCGCATACTTTGCAAAAGTCATTGTGGTGTTGCATTCCAAAGCTCTGCAAAATTTTTCAGTTGAACTCTTCTATTTTGGGTAAGATTGAAATGTTCTGATAAAATCTGAATCTTTTTCTTATTTGCAGTACTAAATAACTTCCAATAATTTCAAATCATTCTAATGATAAAATAAAATTTTAAAAATATTAAAGTGACTAAAGTAAAATTCAAATTTTGTAAATAACCTGTTTCTGCAACTTGTAAAGAACCACTAATCAAATTGATTTTAACTATGTAGATCAATGACGACAATGATGTGATTTCTTAAAAATTATTGTTACTATAAATTAGTCATGTAGTTAATCTTTAGCTTTTTGTTGAATATTAAGAAGTTTCTTTCATTCTTCTTTATATGATACAGTTATAAAATAAAGATAATGAAATTTGAAAAGATGGGATCCTGTTCCTCTCTTTAATGTTATGTTTTCAGTCTTATTATATTGGGTAATTTTTCTTCTTTCAATAGTGTACACTGTCAGAGTTGCATGAAAAAGATGTAAATTTATGGCAAGACCAGCTTCGTCTTTTCATACGTGATGTGATATCAGAATTATTAGATGTTCAATCTGTCCTGTCATCTATTGATGATGAAAAATTAAGTATGTGTACCTGTTTCTTCTTATTATTATTTGCTTGTGTGCAATTGTAAGTTTTTTTTTTTTTTTTTTTTTTTTTTTTTTGTTGTAAAAACTATGTGTGTTCTAATATCAAAAAAAAAAAAAAAAAAAAAAAAAAAAGTCTAAAATATATTATTGTTTGCATATCTTGTAATCTATTATTATTATTTTGTACATAATCATGCTTTCAGATATTTTTAAAAGGGGTGAGGAGTATATTTTTTATTTGTTTTGAGGCTGTTGCTGAAATTTAAATTTAAAGGAGGTTTAAAAAAGAGGAGTTAGAATATTATATTAAACTATTATCGAAACTGAAAAATCTCAAAAGAAAAGAATTTTTAATTTTCACAGTATTCCTATGCAAAGTTTCACTTTGTTAACAGGATTAAAATTTTATTGTCAATTTTAACTTTCAAAGGAAATGCATGATCTTTGTCTCACCATTTCTGTCCAAATTCTGCATAATTTTAGAGGATGGGAAAGTAAATATATATGTGAAGATCAAAGGCATACCTCTCAAAACTAAACAATAAAATCAAAAGTAAATATCTAAGCATTTGTAATATATGAATTCCTTTCTTACCAGTGAACATCATTAGCATGATGATATTATTTTTTTTACTCCTGATGATTAGAAGCTTCATTAGTTAAGTATTCATCAGGAGAGGTCAAATATTTGGTCATAGCCCTTTCACCACCGAAAACATTGCATAGGTTGTACCATAGGGTGTGATCTACGCTCACAAGAAAGGGAAGCTCTATCCTAATTTTTATGGAAAACACCTCAAGCAACAGATTTAGGATCTCCAATTTCTTTTCTTCTACCATCAGCTTGTTGAGAGAACTTTCATCTTGGTGATATTTTGAGTTCACACATTCCATAAAAACAATATACATTACAAGCATTCATGCTTTTTCCTGGACTTAGCCTACTTTCCTACCAGCGCACTTGCAGTGAAACTGGTAATATTGTGTACAGCTGCTGATTCAGCTACTCTTTTCACTGGTATTTTTAATATTTTGATGTCATTTTACTTTGAAAGGTAATTTATTCATGAAAAAAGTTGATTATATAAAGAGTGTGCACTGCCAGAATTCATAATTAAAGCATATTTTTCATTTATTTTGTCCAACTTGTTATACTTTTCACCAAATTTATTAATAATTGATTTATGATTAAAATGCTCAGATATGCAATATTGGTATCAGGTATAGGGAATAAATGGTGTTTATCAAATATGAAATACTATAATTGAGGGAAATGCGAGTCCACCCAATGTTGCAGAATATATATGGTAAAGATTTTTATTCAAGATTAAAAATATTATTTTGTGAAATTTTTTAGAAAAATTTCCAAAGAAAATTTAAATGTGATAAATCATTATTTGATTGGGCCCATTGCCAGTATTTAATATTTTGAACAGTTAACTGAAAATATTGTAAATTAGAACAAAATAAATTAATATAGTTACTTTTCACTTATTTGAATGAAAGGAAAAGAATTGAATTTCTATTCGTGCATTGAATTCTTTCACTGAGTTATTCAGTGGATATCTTTCCTCCTCCAATGCTCTTTCTAACCTTGGGGATTCTATTTTATTATTATTATTTCTTCCTTCAGTGTGCAAAGCTTTTAACTTCTGTATTATCTGTACTGAATTAATGAAGCTATTCTGCCTGTTGTCAATTTAATCTGTACTTATTTTTAGAAATATTCTTTGAACCATTGAAACTAGTCCTGTGAAAAATTTGAAAATATAATGGTGATTTTTTGTTGTTTGGCTTCTAAGTTAATATTTCTTTAGCATGTTATTATATCTTCAGATGAGCTTTAGTAAAACATAATTTTTATTCTCAATTCACGAAGATGGGTAACTTAAATACAATTCTATCCATTACAGCATGACACTCCAGCTTATTTTTACAATTTCTTTCTCTATAAATTTTTCATACATTTACTAATGGTAAAACTTTCAGAATAACATTTTAAAATATTTTTTCTCATGTTGCTCAGCAACAGGTACATGATACAAAATATGACATTGTCACTCCAAGGATAATAAATATAATTATTTGTTAAATAATAAAATATTACAGTCCTTACAATAGTGACTTTTAAGTTTGTCAGTTTGATGTCATTGGCTAAACTAAAATTTAGTGGTGAGAAAGTAATCCCTCAAAAGGCACTTTGTGAATTGAGAATAAAATTTGCACCAAAAAATAAAATTTTGAAACCGAAAGAAAGACATTTAAAAACTTATATTTAAATTTTAATTCAAATTTTACTTTTTGATAATGAATAATAAAACTTTACTAGATAATAATGAAATTTAAGTCAATTCTGACCATTTTAGAAAACAAATAGGGAATAAATAATGTAGTTCAGTGAAAAGCTTTAATTAAATTTTAGAATTTAAAATTAGTAAACTCAAAATGGGGTTCAAAAAGTAGTCAAAAAAAATTTTTTTATAAATTGTTTTGTAGAAATGAGTAGAAAAATCCTATAAGTGAATAATTTTAGATTTTGTTAAATACAGAAACATGCAGAGAAAGTTTGAAAAGAAGTAAAAGAACTTTCTTAGGAAAGTAAAATGTCTTCACGTCATGGGCTTATCATGACGACTTTGAATATAGGAGGCCATTGTTTCAATAAAAGTATAGTAATAAACATAAAGAGAAAAAAATAAAAACCTATAAACCTTTAAAACATTCTTCTTTGTCCTTCTCTTTTGCAGCTTTCAGATAAAAAATTCATACTTTTAAAAAGTGTTATAGGGTGTAGACTAGTCCATATTTTTTTAAAAGACTATTAATAAATTTTAAAGGAATTTCATTTTCTTTCGAAATTTTGGTGAGAATTAAAATTTCTTCGTTTTGCGTTTGTGTTTCGGTGTAAACTTCCCTAATTCTGCTAATTTGGTTAATAATACATTTGAAATAACTTTTTTAGATATGTTGGAGTTCCAATTTATAAGTTTAAAAGTAGAAAAATTAAATTCTTTTCTTTTATCATAAAGTTTAATATCTTTAAGATTATGAATGCTAAGATAACTAACTATTTCTGATTGGTCTTTTTGAAATCATTAAGTTTTAGACAGCTTGGGTAGATGTTGCTATTTTCTATGAGATTATAATTGTTAAAAGTTAATAATGTCATCAATATGTGTGTTCAAATTTGCTGAAATCTTTATCAGAAAGGCCTTTTAGGAATTTAAATTTAGAAAACAGAAACAAGTTACAAAGATGAGTTCAATATGAACTTCTTATTGGAATTCATTATGTGTGCAGGTAAAGAAATTTTGAATGTTTAATAGTTATTGTATAGCGAAACATATAGAAATTCTTCCCGTTTTTGTAAATCCTGAATATTAAGTATTTCAGATAAAAAATTTCTCGTTTTTAAAAGACTTTCGTAGATTTTTTTGAGTGGTAGTGATATGTAGAGGTTTTCAAAGTCATAGCAGTGAATGTTGTAAATTTTAAGATTTCTAACTTCTTCAATGATTTTCAAGTTGTCGTAAATAATCCAGCAGAAGTTTTTTTCAGCTTTAACTTGTCCAAATCTGCTAAATTCTGTCTTTAACCCTTTTGCTTAGATTTGATATATATCATGCTGTTTTCCTCTCTCGATTTAAAGAGTTAAAATTAATTAAAAAAGGGAAGAAAATATGTATAGCATTATATTTGCATGTAAATAGCAGCTATTTCTCATATGTATCTTCTTGTTCATTTCAGATCAAGGTTTCACATATCATCATCAAGTATTTCTAGCTTTAAAAAAGTTGTACTGTCAAGTGAAAGTTTTAGAATCTCAAATATGTTTTCTTATAGGTGATAATGTTTTAATTTCTTCTGTTAAAGATATGGTAGATAAATGGCTTTATATTGAAAGGAGACTACCAGCTATCATTTGTTGGTTTATACATAAGTTATAGCATTTCCTGAATTTATTTATATTATTGTGCATTTGTACATTTGTGTATGTATGTTAAAATTTCTTTTTATTGTTATGTTTGCAAAATAAGATAGGATGAAACTGTTTTAAACAGTTTGATTTATTTTTAATAAAATGAATCATTGTACTATGTTGCATTGTTTGAAAACACAGAGTTTATAAATCTCTTGTTTTTTTTTAATAGCTGAAGAAATGAATATATAATTAATTATAAATAAGGATATTTAACTTTCATTTGTACAAAACAGGTGCAAATATAGGCAGAATCCACCAGTATTGGAGACCAAAATTGAAACATTGCATATAAACCTTTTGAATCAAAAATTAGAAAAAATAGGTATTTAAAGATAATTTGTTTAATTTTTATGGTCTTTGCAATCTAGTAAACACACCTGGTGCCCATTTTTCTCCTATATGAACCTGTTCGTTTGTTTCCTGTTAGTCATTCTCACTCAATCAGTTCAGTTATATCAAAACTGTGAAATAAGTACACATTTTTCTCCCTGCATATGTGGATGCAATTTTATTATATCTTATGGTGGAGAAAATGATATTGTGTAACATCTGAAATAAAATCATGAATCAAATGTTGAAAATTCGGATAAAAATCTGCTGGTTTTAAAGTGAACATTGTTTGAGCCATGTATCAATTTATTCAGTTTTTGATTCAACATAATATTTTTGCTTTCCTAATTTAGTTGATGACTTAACAGGTCAAACTATTTCAATAATCATTTTTAATTAATTGAGTAAATCAGACACTCTTATGTCGAAGTGTGTTCCTTTCTGTGCAGATGGTGCATTGGGAATTGCTAAAAATATTAAAATATAATGAGAAAAAAATTTTTTGAATCTATTCAACAGTATTTTATAACTGTGTGCAAATTACATAATGAGAAATTTCTTTCTGAAAAGTAAAATATTAGATCATTGGTATTTTCACACAAAATTGGACTTTTTCTGAAATCCTGTTCTACTGGGCCGATTGATGAAATTCAACTTGTGTTTTTCATATCTCGAAAGTGCAACTTAGAATATATATATATTCATTTTATATATAGCATTGTTCTAACATAGATATTTTGACACAAAATTAGACTTTTTCTGAAATAACATACCAATTTTTTTCTACATTTCGATTCTACGACTCAAATTATGCCTAAATATTAAATTTTGTGAAATTTGGTGCGAAATTTCGGAGAAACTCAAAAAGAGCCTTATAATTGACTGACCTATGTTAGAGCAGCGCTATATATGAATCTTATATATATATATGTATCCTAAGTTGTGCTTTCGAGACATGAAAAACGCAAGCTGAATTTCATCAATCGGCAAAGTAGAATGGGAGATGTAGAACTGTCCCAGATCTAGATCCTCTTCTGTCTTTCCCCTCCTCCTCCGCACTGTACATACCCCATCTGCATTATATAAGGTTTTCTTGAGTAGTTTGCAGAATACTAATTTCATGTATTGAAATTATATACAACTTATTGTCTAATATAATGAATGGCAAATTCTTTCAATTTATATGGCAGTTTCTTGCTAAATTTGACAACAAAAAAATAGTCGCCAAAACCGTTGCCTGTTGGCTATATCTCAATATTAAAAAAAATTGTGTTCTTATTTTTCCGGCAGAGCATACTCCTTGTAGATATTCATGTTACATTATGCAGAAAAAATATAACAATTTCACATATAATTTCACTAAAATTATCCGTATATGTACAATATTTGTAACGGTGTCCGCCGATAACATCGCGGAGAAAACAACGCAAGGCGAAAACGTCGTGCTACAAAACATCGTGGGAGAAAACATCGCAGTTCTAAAACATTGTCGTACAAAATATCGTCGTCGAAAATAAAGCGGTTCAAAAACTTCGCAGTTTAAAAACATCGTCGTCGAAAATATCGTGGTAAAAAATAAAGTATCTACAAATCATCGCATGACGATAACATCGCAGACATGCTTTTTTCAGGCTTTAATAACTGTAAATGGATATTCCCATAATGATTTATGAGTGCAAGATGGAAAGAAGGATAATTTTTACTTTCATATTTTTTATTAACTAATAATTTTTAAAGGAGACTTAAGTATAGAAAATTAATGCAACTTATAGCACTAAATAGAATTTTAACTAACAAAGTAATATATATAGTAGTAAATTTTAAATTATGAAATTTAATTGTAAACAAATGAATGATTAATTATTGCTGCAAACTAATCTGCAATATCATTTAAATTCTGAATACATGGATGACGAAACACGAATTGAATAATTGAAGAGTTAGGTTTGGAGGCAACTTCCCTTGATAAGCTTGTCTCCTGCCTGCTCAACAATTATTCACTTATACATTTTAAAATTTTTTTAGGATTAAAAAATTTTTTGGAATTATATATTTATTCATGGATTTTGATACTTTCACGTAATTTATATATGCTCTCAGAATTTAAATGATATTGTAGATTAGTTCGCAGCAATAATTAATCATTTATTTGTTTGCAATTAAATTTCATAATTTAAAATTTAATTAACTTTAAATTTGCTTTTTACGAATAGAGAATGTTTGTTAAAGTTTTATTTTAATTAAATATGTTTACTTTTTGTTTATTTGCATTTTTCTATTGATTAGTTCTTAAATGTTAATGTTTTTTAAAGAAATCGAAAGTTGATTAAAGAAATCGATATATTAATATATGAATCATATGCTGAAAAATTCTTTCCGTATGCTATTTACATACTCAAATGGTTTTTTTTATACTGAAATAAGTACTGGATATATACTGAAAAGTTTTTTTACATTCATATACTGAAAAAGTATTTCCTTATGCTATTTATATAGTGAAAAATGTTTCCTCATTGTGAAATAAATACTGAATGTATACTGAAATGTGTTTTATATTCTTCCCTAATGCTATTCATATGCTAACTTGTTAGTTTTGAAAGACTCTTTTTAACTTTCCCTCTATATTAATTTCCAAACTTAAGCTGAAACTTCGTTTGCAACATTAAACCACAGTATTTTATAAAAAGAAGACTCCCATCATAAGTCATCTATTTTATGAAGCAGTATAGAGATTGTTTGTTGAATTACATAATCACCTTGTATTAATGTTTATTTCTCAGATCAAATTATATCCAAAAGTGCATCCTGAAAAATTCGTTTACAATAGACTGTGTTACTTTCAGATTTTGCAGTGCGTCAGGAAATAATATTTTGAATCTATATTTTAATCAAAAGTTGCCATTCTTAATATTATATATTTTTATTAAACACAGTGCTTTATAATCCACTCTTTTACGATTTTTAAGTAATTATAAAAATTTATAGTTTTGTTATTGAATAATGAAAAATATTTATGGCACCATTATAAAATTTAGCGTAGATATGTCAGCCTTGTTCAAAATTTGTAGCTTAAGAATAAACAATAATTTTACTTTCCTTCATTTCGTAAAAAAGGTGATATCATGTCAAAACTTTGCAAATAATGTACCATCTATTAATGCAGTTATAAAAAAACTAATTAAATAATAAATACTTCATTGTATACATTTAAAAAATTAGGAGCGCGAGAAAACTGTAAACATAGCAGAAATTTCCGCCTAAGTTAGAACTAATATTTAATATTGCTTCATAAATATTTGCGAATAAGCTATACATGGAAAACCATAAGCATATTTTGAGAATGTATTTTTGTAGCAAAAGACCGATGTTTATAGTGTTACCCATTGCAGAAAAACATGAAACTCTCTAAAATACCTTTCATATTTATCAAATAAAAACTTCCATTTATATATCATTCTATATTTAGCAAATGAAAAACTGCTGTTAAGGATTTTTAACGTTAAATTTACATTACTGTCATATAATAAATTATTTTTTAAATTATGTTATATAATCAGTACTGATCAAAATTGAAATGACTAGGGATTTAAAAGCAAATCTCTTACCTCAGTTTTCAAATTTTCCCCCTTTTAAATATGCAGAAAAAATACGCAATAAAATACCGTATTGTCTCAAAACATAATGGTGTCATATATGAAAAAGTTTTGTCTTTTAAGAATCTTTCAGAAAGACAAAAGGGGCTTACATATAAGATGTGCCCACGTATATAAGTTTGATATATCAAAGTAAGTAAGTTACAAGAAAAGCCATTAAAAGTCTAATCTTATTATTTGAGATAAAATTAAATTAAGTAAATATATCTCCCATTGCTTTACGAGTTAAAAAAATACTCTTAAACGTATTCTTTAATATTAAGCTGCCTGATCAGGATGATTTCAGAAAGGAATAGAAATTGAAAATTTCGTCTTATATGCATCCACAATGGTATTAAATTTACTGAATTTTATTAAAATATAGATAGCTTATTAAGCTAAAAATTTATCCACTGTAAACAAATACTCTAAAGTCATTTTCTCACACAAACATGAATTAATGAAAAATGAAACGAAATAAAATTTTAATTGATAGGAATTTTTGAAATTTTTCAAAAATATCGTTATTGTTAATACCAAATCTCCAATAAATTTTAGCTTCGCATACCGTTTCAGTTAATAAATGATATTTAAACGAACAAGGCATCATCATTTGTCGTTCATAATTTCTCTGATGAAATAAAATTTGATTTATACTACCAAAGAGTGTATACCAAAGAGGCTTAACACATTATACCAAAGAGGCTTAAATAAAACACATTATATGGAGTAAAATATCATTCACATATATTCATGAAAGCTAGTATAATTGTAAATATCAACTCTAAGAGCATAAAAGTTCGCCTAATATTTTTCAGAAAATATAATGTAATTACGACTCATGTTAAAGCTGTAGTAATAAAAACATGTATAATTATATCAGACATTAAACATCCTCATTAATTAATGTATAAAAAATTTACACCTGCAGTTGAAAATTGTAGGCTATTCCCCTTAAATAGTCTAAAATAGGCCGATCATTATAATCATTTACAATCTTTTGAATTCTGAGAGATGTATCTCTGTAAACTTTTCTACTTACTGGTGGATGGTGACCTGCAATGTATTGTTCAATTTTGTTCAATTTTTATAGAATTTAAATTTTGTTCCTTTTTTAAGCAATCAATAAATTTCCAGATTGTTGGATGGC